GAGACCGGGGTCAGTTGACTATAGGGGTAAGTAGAATAATCGAGGCTGCATTAAAAACAAAACACGCGAGACACGCAGCAGCGACTGCCGCGCTCAATCTGCTGTAACATTCTTGTTGTGAAAACATCTATGATAGAAGTTATGTCAGAATTTTTAAAAGTCGTACACCTAAGTAAATATTTTTATTCTTACAATAATTGTTTTACAATCGTATATGATTGTCTGAGATATGTGATTTCTGCTTAGATAGTAAGTGCAGTTCTTACTTAATAAAGTCCAATAAATTTTTTTTTTGTTTATGTATTGTTATCGTATATATTATTAATGTTTTTAAAAAATGAACGAATGTGGATAGTAGACTAACCACAGCATGGAACTGTGCTCATTTAGTGACGACTGTTATAGTACTTACTCAAAATTTTATTTCTTTAAAGAGATTTTCCTCAGTGGTAAATGTTATAAATTGAGTTCCCTTATGTCCAATCTCGAAAACTAGGCTCATTCGACGTGTTTTTGCACGAAATGAACAAATTTTGCAAAAAGAAGCATTGTTTCCTCCTGCGAAGTGATGTTTGTGTTTAAAATATATTTTTATAAACGTTTTATTAATATGTAGCCAAAGATGTAGTCTTAAAATACATTAATCTTTATTTTAATAATCTTAGTCGAATTACCTCGGTCCCGGGGCTAGTCGAATCAGTTGGAACGCATTTAGAAAATGCATTTTTTTCATATTATCAGTTTCCCTTTATTATTAAAATATTATTAGGTAGTCAAACGTATGTAGTAACTGGTGTAGAATTCATTTTTTCGATAAGTCTCTTAATTTTGTCTGTAAAAATTCGAAAAATGAGTCTATTAGCCCCGGTCTCCCCTAACTTTCCTCCCTCGTGCAGTATATTTCATTAGCATTCGCCAATTTTTTTTCACGTCTTATCGCTGTTTAATACACGCGTAAAGAAATGCGGCGTAATAATATTCTCTCCTAAGGTATCTTATATTCTTGAATATATCACATTCCTATCCGTTCTACCGGCAATGTGAAAGTTTCACCCTTTGTTCTGGTTCTTTGAACTTCAGTGCAGATTTTTATATTGTTCCGGATTGTATAAAAATCTGAAAAAAATTCTTACTCTTGTGAAAGCTATATACAACATTAAATTTTTACTATAAAGTTGGATTGTATTTTATTTGCTTATTACAGATTTATATTTATCTATCAGAATTTTCACAATCAAAAATCGACTGTGTTTTAAAGTCTAACACTGTCGGCGAAAAAAGGCTACACTGAGAAAAAAAATTGTTAACCCGACTAAAAATTAATTTAATTCGTTTTTACTCCTTACAAATTGGAGGATGTATGTATTTAGATTAAATATGATCTACTTGATATATCTAAATACACATATTCTTTATCGGAAGAAATAGAGACGAAGTAAATTAATTTAGTTAAAAAATTTTTCCTCAATATGTGTATATTTTTTTCTTATAGAAAATTTTGCATTTGTACATTTTTAAATGCATTCGTACGTTAAACATTAAACGAAAGGTATCTGGATCAACTCTTGAGAATGTTTTAATCGTTCTCGATCGCGAGTCTCGAGTCACCGCCATCAGATCGTTATGAGAATTTCGAGCGCGCCGAATCGTTAAATCTTAATGTGGAAATTATTAATTGCGGAATTTATGCGCGCACTAAACGACGATAAAACACGCGATAAGTAATCGGTGTAAATGCTAATGAGACGCTATCTGATGAGTTTACCGAGGAGAGAAAATTAATTATGCGACACCGTACAGAAGGAGTGGTGTGACGATCATTACGTACGACGCCATTAAAGTCGTCAGTACGGTCAGATCATTAGAGACCGCGGAGTTCTAATCTATCTCGTAATGTGTGCAATAACAGGTATGATTACGATCAAGATGATAAAACATTTTTGAACCGAAGCAATTCGACGAACGCGTAAATCATCGATTCCAAGTCGAGTTTCAAGTTAAATTTTCCTCGGAGATTCTCTCTCTCTCTCTCTCTCTCTCTCTCTCTCTCTCTCTCTGGCGGGTTAAAATTTTTCTTTCTTCGCACAAATATTACGATCGACCGAAAAGATGGATGGAATCGAGACGGAAGAGAAGACGCGGGAGACGCAGCGGCGTGCTGTTATGTTCGGCTCGTGGACGAGGAGCGCGAGAGCGCGGGCCTCTATTTTTAGACTTCGGAGGAATGACAGTCCCTCTTCAGTGTACATGAGGAGCTATTGATAGGTCGCGGTCTTGCTTGGTGGAAGAAGCAGACGCGTCGCGTGAATCACACGTCGCTGCGAGAGAGAAGAAGCCATGTCTCTTCACCTAAAGTCGTCACGGGGCCGATATGTCGGAGCGTCTTGTCGGAC